TGTTCTGCCTGTTGTTTTCTAATACCAAACTCTGATGCCAAAGATCTCCAGTTTCCAATGGTTCTCGAGTCTATGTCAAGTTTTGGTGACAGTAATTTAATGAACTTAGTTTCACCAGAGATGAGATCACCCACACTCATTGTATCTTTGAAAAGTCCTAGCATTACATGAAGATTAAGAAAATAAATGTTATTATGTGTAATCAATTACGAACAAAGAGGATGGATATCTTAAGCTTGATGTGTTATTGTAACAAACAATACCCGTAAAAAAAGATCAAACAAACAAAAAATAAAGAATATGAATAAAACATCACGACAACAAAACAAAGAGGAAAAATTTGGATAAAAATTGGGAAAACAAAGATGACAACATTTAAATTAAATATTAAATGTCTCATAAATTATGGCAACCAGAAAACTAATTTAAAAACACTTTATAACTTCATAGTCAACTAGGCAACAGAATCTAGCTTAGGAAAAACAAATTGTGTTTAACTTGCAATAACATTCTTTTGTTGGTAGAATGAAACCATTTTTTTTGTTTTCACCCACACAATGTACAATCATGTGAACCAGGTTACAATGTCAAAGTAACTAAAGAGTGGAAAATCAACTAAAAATGCAATGTGGCATCCTTAGCTGAAAGATTGTCCTCAAAGTTTCAAAATCACATCTCTTGCTCTTAACAATTAAATTTCTCTGACCATTTTTCTCCCTAAATATTTTCCTTTGGTAGGACTTGTGATAAGTATTTCATCATTTATTAAAACATAACAGTACCCGTGTTCAAGCTTTCGATCAAATCATTGCGATGAATTTTCTGGAGTTTCTGCTTAAGCTCCTTGACTTTCAAATCAGGATGCCAGACTTCAGCGAGATAAACAAATAAATCCTCTGTAGGGCTGTGCTCAGAATACATTTCAAACTTCCTGGTTTCATCAGAGGGGACACATAAAACATAGGCCAGATGCTTCCAACATTTTATTACTCTCATCTCACGATCCAAATATTTAGAGAGCTTGTCTGAAAATTCGGATCCATCTCTCACCACTTCTAACACTTTCAACTGCTCAGGACCTGGGGAGAAAGATATTCATCTAAAATTTGTTTTTTCAATCATTCTTTCCCTTCTATAGTAAACCTCTGAGGGTCTTGACTCAATAGGGAGCTTAAGCAACCACAACGATGAACAGAGGACAATGACCGGAAGTAGCGAGAACGTCACTGCGCATGCGCAAACCAATAATTCCGTCGTTGTCTTGTCGTCGACGACTTAAGAAGGACCTGTTTGACGTTGTCATGAACTTCCGAACTTAAAAGCAGTTTTTCTCATCAAAAGGTGTGGGTTTATTGTCGCTTTTTTTGACAGTCTATGTCCAGTTGGAGTTTGTATTCGCTTTTTTGGTTGATTTAAACCTCCTTGTTCAGTTTTCTAAACAGATAAAATTCGAAAACCCACTAACTCATTTCCTTCCTCCGCACAACAGATGTCAAGTCAAGCGGTTGACTTGACATTTATTTGAGTATATTTTATGAAAGAGTGCTGTTTAACATTTTTATTGAATGAAAAGTTTTAAATGGCAGTGCAATACACCTCTACGTTTGGTCAAAAGCTGTGTGTATGGAACTGCCGGATTATTGCTACTAAAAAATTTTGCCTGTTGCTGTTCTTCAATCGAGACGCTTCAAACAGCAAAGAATTTTTCAGATCGGTGTGTTAACATGAGCTTGAATACCTGTCAGGTTTTGCGAATCTATTCTCAAAATGTTTGATATAGATTTACAGCCATAAAAATTATTCACAGAGGAAAATATAGCATTCTTGTGCTGATCGCTAGCTAGCATTGATTAAATTGAAGGACTTACGTCGTTTGCTCACCAAAGAAAGGAGCATCACAGGTGGAACATATCAGGCTAAAGCATGTTGAAAATCAGGCAAACCTTGTGCAGAATAGGTTTGTTTATATCAGAAACACTTAGAACTGAATTTAAATCTCAAATAATTTCTGTAAAATTTAGTATATTAAACTTTTGCCATGCGTAAATTATTGTAAATAAAGCTAAAGCTTAATAATTCCTTGGACTGTTGATGTTCAAGAATTGAATAACCTACTCTCGACCTTTCAATATATAGGTGGAAATTTGATCCATGACTGAGAAGAAGGTTTTGGATGTCTCTGAATGATGTCATTTCTTTAACGGACAAAGTGAGAATAAACAAGATTTCAGACATCGTTGTCCTTGAGCAACTTCACTGCTTAAGTTTCATTTTCCCGCTAAAAACGATGTCCTCGTTCCAGACCCTCTGCAATTACTTGACATTGTCGTCGTCCCTTTTGTCGTGGTTGCTTAAGCTCCATAATAATGGCAAGTGAACCCCAAATCCATTTCTTTTCACAAATGGAAAGGGAAATTTATTCATTCACAGAAGTTCTGATCTTGGAAAAACCATTTTGGGGAAAAGCCAAGCATATAACTTGGCAGTAGAACCTTGAAAAACCATTGCCTACTTCTCTTGTGTGAGGTTTTGCATTTGTTTTTCTGGGTGAATATACATGATTAATTTAAGCATGCCAAAGTTTCATTATTTTGAAAGGCTTAATATAGACCATCAAGCCTTGTTCTGAATCAATTAGGTTCAACAGAAGGCTAAATATTATCATGATTACAGAACTAAACAACAAAGTCAGCACAAAAGTATGGGTAATCAATTGAAGAATTGCTCTTTGAAAGATCCCAGTCTTCGAGTTATAAACTTCACTTTTCTCTTTACAAAAACAATCAAAGTCCTGCAAAGCTCCACTGTAAACAGTTCTATATTAATGTTAATAACAATTAAGCTTCCAATATGAGGACACACAATCTACATACGAAAATGTTCACAGAAGTTTGGTTTTTATCTGGCAAAAGTCATGACTTTGACAATAACAACCAACTGTTCACTTGACTTTGATCATGACCTGCGTGTGCTAAAGTTGTCCCAACCTCCCCTCACTTGCACCGACAAAAACACTCTCTTTTTCTTGACTGTAGACTCTTACAGAGATGATAAGACTACATGATTGGCTTTGTGTGATCAACTTTGTATCTGTTAACAAAAATTTTTAAGCTACATCAGAGTGGTAAAAATTTGGAAAAAATGGGACACAACATATGTTAAAAAATAATTATCCTCCTCGGTAACATATTAAAAATTGTGACAAACTTGTGCTTTAAAGGAGAGTACCGTGAAACCAAAACCAATCAGAAAAAATAGGAAAAATATCCAAAGGGCCTGATAAGGGCTTAAAATTGAAATTGAGATATAGGGTTCTGGGCTAAAATTGGCTTTACTTTCGCACTTGACGGTATAGGAATGAGGTACAAAAATTCCATAACACTCAAATGAAGATTGAGAGAAAGAAATTACTTTTGAGCCTCAATTTAAAATTGCTCCATTTTTAGCTGCTCAAAGTAGTTCCTATACAATGAAAATGAAAGTTCTTTGCTGAAAAGGAAATTCTGCATGACTTAATAACTAGAGAAGGAATTTTCTTGCCTGTGTGTCAGAGGGTCTTAGAAAGTAATCTTTGCAGTTATTGTTTATTGTTTACTATTTCTTTTTCTCTTACTTTTCTTTTTCTCTGCTTCTTCATCTTGTCCTGATCCTTTCAGGTGTCCACCAGGAACAATCTGTGAAGTTTCAGGACTACATGATTCGCTCTTTGGCTGAGGTGTTGGAGGTACAGATGAAGTAGGGGAATGCTCATTCTGTTCCTCGGGAGTTTTCTTATGAGCTGGAGTTTTCCTAATGCTCTCAGCTGCTTCAATCCCACAATTTGTATTTGTACTAGGGTTAGAATCAGGTTTTTCATAACTAGAAGTATAAGACATAGTACCAGGACCTAAAGAGTTTGGTATGCAAGACTCTCTCAATTCAAGTTCATGAATACTAGGATCTGTCACTGGTGCTCCATCAGCAACATCACTTGGACCATTAGCTTGGTTCAAACCACTTTGCTGTTCCTGACTGAGGTCATGGCAATCATCAGATGCATTATTTAGATTCCTTCCATCATTGCATGATATAGCATCTTGAGGCGAAGCATGATTATCATGCAGATTTCTATCCTGATCTTCCATCACAAGATTTGATAAACCTTGGTATAGATCACTTGAAAGTGTACCATTGCTAGTGCCATGCACAGTTTGTGCATTCCTTTCCTCTTGTACATCTCCTTCCTTTTTGACATCTAAATTTGGGTTCTGAGGCTTAATCTTTCGCATGTCTTCCTGCCTCTTCAATTCAGATTCACGAAAATGTCTTAATCCTTGATCATATATCTCATCAACATGATCACTTTCATCTCTGGAGTGAAAGGTGCTTGCACCTTCCTTTCCAAGAACTTGTTTCTTTTTTGTCCTTCCTTTGTTGTGGGTATTTCCCATTAGATCGTGCACACTCATGCGTGACAAGGCCATCTATTCAAGTTTTATACTTATTCAGCAAGTTTCTAAGCATTCAGCTGGAAAGAAAAGCAAAGAGGTGATATTTTTCATACTGATAAATAAGCTGACGACTGTCAAATGGAGAGACAATACAACTGATTTGTTGGTTGATGAACAGATTTAACATTTAAATGAAAACTCTATATCGAACCATTGATCGCGCTTAGCTTGTATGTCAAACGTAAACAGTATCACCACTTGAGCTATTCTTGTGACAGATTTACTTAATAAGGCTGGGATAACTATACATGTATGCGCATTATTCTACGGAAGTAGTACAACGTCTCAAACAATTGCGGTGAAGACAATTTTTAGAGTTGTTTTCCATATCATGCTCCTTAACTCATGGGTTAACGACTGAAGGAGTTTTGTTAAATTTTATTTTGCCTGGAGAGATCGTCAAAAGATCTGCATTGTTTCGGAAATCGGAGATATATACGTAACAACACAACAGACTAGGGGATATTTTCAACCTGAAATTAGTGCTTCGTAGGCAAATTTTAACTTGTCTTTCGAAATATTTTCTCTCTTAAGACTTATAAAACGTACCTCATTATTTCGTTTCCTCCTGTAACGAAATATATAATATCTAACGGCTCGAGAATATGTAAAACACGAGAGGGATGAGTAAAAACTATCAAAAGTTAATCACGATGAAGTTCTTGATGTTTCTTTTCCTTTTGCTTGGTAACCGTTCTTCAGAGTGCCTTGCATGCATGATCACATGATCACTTCAGATCCTCAAGAGTAGTGCTAAGGGAGTATAAGGTCCATCCCAATCCTCTTGAATAGCTGCGCTGTTTTGTATTAAACTTGATTTTAGTGTCTTTATTTATCAGTAACTTCCTGGTTTTGCCACTGGCTCAGACGTTCGAATCAACTGTTCATGGCGTTCGCTGTGAAAAAGGCAGTAAAGGATAAATTTCGCAGAAACAAACGAAAAGGTAAGTTTATCTAAACTAATAGGGTCTTACGACGCAATCATCGCCAATGTAATCTATTTCATATGCAAAACTAATCGTATGTAATCGTTCTTCGGGCTTGTAAACTTTTGTTTTAACAAACGATAATGCTGTTACATGTACATGTGTATGTCGATTGTTTCCATGGATTTGGTAAGTTTCGTCCACGAGTTAGTTTTAGACATGATCTTCCATGAAACTGCAAGAACTACTTAGGGAATTAACCCAGATGGGATCCCGGAAACCTGACAACTTGACAGCAGCTGAATTTTTATTGCAGGGGTAATCAAATCTTCATTTTTTGCTGAGTCATCATGTGTATATTTCTCAAATGCAGGAGAGTGTACTTTAGAAATTCAGGGTTCTCTTCTTAATGAATCTGCTACTTTTTGCACAGTTCCAAAAAAAAATGTGATCACGTCTTATTTATGGTAATATTGTGAGCCGTAAACCATCAATAATTGTATTCATTTTTTTCTCAAGTGTCTTAGCAGTTGCCAATCCTCAATCTTTGAATCTAATTGACTAATTCCACGCACTCCAGCAGTCCAGATTTTCCCATTCAGACCCCAGGGTGTGGACTGCCCTGAGTTTTGCAATTTGGGCTTTTTAATCATTTTAGTGAGAGAGGCTAAATGGTGTATCAAATAACTCAGCTATAGATTCAGACAACAAAAACTATCAAAGAGAAAGCAAATTTTGTTATCCTGAAGAAGAAAACACACCTCAAGATAAAGGAAACAATGGAGACACAAACAGCACTGCCCAAGAAATGTGTTTTTACATCTTAAACAGGTTGACAGGCAGCCTAAAAACCGTTTGTAATTTGATAATCCTTTACTAAAAATAACTGAAAAAGTTAATCCCCTTGTGTTTAGCCAGGAAAAGTGTTTCATTTGACTTTGGTTTTTCCATGGAAGGAAGACAATATTTAAACTTTATACGGGCCATTCCAGAAAACAAACAAAACAGTCTTTCTTCACCATATGTAAAACAGTCTTTAGTCATTTAGCTTGAGTTTGTACTGTGATTCATTCAAAAGTGTACATGCTCTTTTTTGGTCTCTAATTGATAGGTGTCAGACTGTGACATACAAATGTTTCATAGTTTGTTTGGAAGCCTCTTAAATCACCTTTATCATAATGCAAATAACAATGTTTCAGTGAAGGCTCTATAATTTGTATTATCTCTGTTTTCTCTACAAACTACTTGCTACAAAATTGTTCAGTTTACAGAGGATCTTGCTATAGTTACAGCCCTGAATCATGTAGCTCCTTTTGGCATGCATTTTATTAGAATTTAGAAAAAATGAAATTTCTTTTCAACCAGCCTAGGTTAGTCCATACTGGGAAAAACTTTGCTCGGGGTATCCAAGACCTCAGGCACAGTTTTCCTCCAATACCGACTAACCTAGGCTGGTGTGAAACATATATATATATACTTATAAGGTCCAGTCTTGACTTTACATCATTATTTGCCTCTCTCCTCCCTGTAGCCTTTTGCTGGAAGTATTATGTGGTTTAGGTATAAGTGAATATAATTTCTGATTTGTCTTACCCTGGTGTTTCTGTTTCTTTTTGTGGAAATGAAACTGTCTTTCAAATTCACACACTTAACTTCAGTGTACAGTTTAGACAGAAGTCTTTATTTCTATGGCACAAAAGTAGAAAGTGTAATTTTCAAAATCACTGTAATTTTCACAGTACGACCGAAGTTTTCCGCTTGAAACGTCAGATTTAACAAACTCGCCTTGCCGGTTTACTACCATTGATCCACTTCTAACGAGCTAAGAGTTTTAACTACCCTCTGATGCAGCGCAGTTTTTCTGGAAACTCGTCACTTGAACAAAATGAAGCCGTGATATTCTAGTTTTTAAATTTGAACAGGTTTGACAGCCCATTATTACTGTCAATTATGGGCGGACACGCGTTTTTCGGATCCGCAGTCTTGGCCATTTTCATGCTGTTTAATGGTCTAATTCTTCTAGCGGACCAACTCGAGGATTGTGTGAACACAAGAGGAAAAATTTTGCCATCTTGGATGCTGGGACCACTCATTTTTTGTCATGAAAACCTGACCTTTCCACTTGGAGATTATTGCTTCACCGACTCCTTGGAAATTTGCATTTCATCACCGACTGTCCCTGGAGACCCTATGTTGGCTTTGGCTCAAAAACAATCAGCACGTTTTGCTTCTTACAACACCTTTCCACTTGGAGATTATTGTTCCACTGACTCCTTGGAAATTTTCATTCTATCACAGGCTATCCTTGGAGACCATATGCTGGCCTTGGCTCTAAAACAATCAGCACCTTTTGCTTCTAACTTGGGAAAAGAACGCTATTTTGAAATCGGTGTATTCTGTGACGATATACTCCCGTTATCTGGAAAGAAACCACCATTTTACGACCATGAAATTCTTCATTACGATCGCGATCCTGCATATACCTACAAACATCGTATAAATCCAGCATATACTTACAAACATCGTACTAATTCCTGGTCATTTATAAGAATCAAGAGGATTAGATTTCTACGCAGGAGAATTACGTACTCGTCTAACTGTCATGCTTCCTTTAATCCTGTTATAATCTCATTTTTGTTGGTTTGCTGTGGGGATATTGAGACCCATCCTGGGCCTAAATCAACATCATCTGATGACTTTGACTACTTTAACCTACATCTTGGTCATAAAGGCATACGCTTTGGTTCTTGGAATGTCAACAGGCTTACGACTACAAAACTAGAACAAATAAAATTGTTCCTTCTTAATGAAGATGGTCGACCACGTTTGGATATTTTATCAATCAATGAGACGTTTTTGAAACCGCTCCTCTCAGATTGTCTATACTCAGTCCCTGGTTTTACAGTGCACCGAAAGGATCGGATGGGCCTGAAATATGGTGGTGGGGTTCTAATTTATGTGAATGACGATCTGAAACATCGAAGGAGAGTCGACATTGAGCATAATAATATAGAAGCATTGTGGTTGGAAGTCTTTCCATTCAAATCTAACCGTCCCATTTTATTCGCCGGCATTTACAGACCTCCTTCAACTAATTTATCAGAGGATGAGGCCATCGAGAATATGTTGGAATCAGTTTATCTATTAAATTTAGAAACCATCATTACTGGCGATATCAACATTAATTTTATTTCTCCGGCGTACAAGAAACATCCCTTGGGACGTGCCTTTTCTAACATGAATTTCAAACAGCTCATTACTGAAGTTACTCGACCATCAAGCGGAACCTGTCTTGACTTTGTATTGTCAAATTTTCCTGAAAGAATTAAGTCTATTGTCGTCAAAAACAATGGGCTGTCAGATCATTTGCCTGTATTTGGAGTTCGTTTATATGAGGATAACGCCAAGCGTCAAAATAAATCTCTAACGATTCAATATCGTAATACGAAGCATTTTGACAAATCCGCCTTCGTTTCCGACCTCCAAGAAGTTCCTTGGAATACTGCATTTGTTTTTGACGATTTAACTGATATCTTAAATGCATGGATGGGTCTGTTCAATAACATCTTGGATGCCCACTGTCCGTGGCGAGCAAAAAAAGTAGCCAAACAAAATCAAGCTCCATGGATGACTGTGAATATTTTACAAGCGCTTCGCAGAAGGGATTCTTTACTACGTAAAGCAAGGCAAAGTCGTTGTGTCACGGATTGGAACTGCTTCAAAATTGCGAGGAATAAAGTTGTAAACATGATTCGCAGTGCGAAATATAAATACTATAACACCTGTTTCAACAACAACAAGGGAAACTCTAAAAAGATCTGGAAAACCATAAAATCGCTAATGGGCGATGTATCAAAATCAGTTGAGACGCCAAATGTTGTTTTGGCTG